CGCAGCGTGGCCGCCGCCGCCGCCGCCAGCCCCGCCGAGGCATCCCGCGCCGCCCGGGCCAGGCTGGGCTGGGGGCGCAGCAGCGACAGCCGGGAGGGGAGGCAGGGCCCAGGACGCGAGGTGGGGACAAATCGCGTTTGGCCCCAGGTAAACGGGGTCCCGCGGCGGCGGTGTCAGGCGCCCGCGCTGGGGTCACGGTGGCCGTGAGCTGGGGAGAAGGTTGCCGGGTATGGCAGGGTCTGGGAGGCCTCACGGGGGCCAGGCTGGGCTGGGGGCGCAGCAGCGACAGCCGGGAGGGGAGGCAGGGCCCAGGACGCGAGGTGGGGACAAATCGCGTTTGGCCCCAGGTAAACGGGGTCCCGCGGCGGCGGTGTCAGGCGCCCGCGCTGGGGTCACGGTGGCCGTGAGCTGGGGAGAAGGTTGCCGGGTATGGCAGGGTCTGGGAGGCCTCACGGGGGTCAGAAATGTCTGGGGTGAACCTGCTGTTTAAAGCTAATAATGATGAATGATCGGCAGGGATGAGGCGGTACCCAGGTGAGTCCTGACGTGGGCGGCAGCGCGGGGCGCTCGCGGAGCACCCCCTCCCCAGAGACATCTGTAAAGTTGCTTCTGTTTTAAAGCCCACTCGCTGCCTGAAGCTGTCTAGGTTTGACTGGCAAGGGGGTCGAGAGCTAGGAATTCTGATTTCATTTGGTCCTATATCCAGTGCTGGACTCTTCGACGACCCTGCAACATGCCTGCGCTCCTAACTCTTAAGCAGGCCTCGTGAAACAGGTACTGGGAAAGAGATCCCGCACATCCCTTAAGTAAACTCTACCCTCCCTGGGACGTGTTTTCCGAGTTAGCCTAAAAGGGCCAGTCAGGTGTTGTGATCCCCAGATACCTTTGCACCTGCTGGGCCCCTTGAACCCTTCACAACAGGCCCTTGTCCTCAAGGTTTTCTGAGCAGCCTACCTTCTTCTCCATCGAGAACCCCTGTTCATTTACTTCCTAGCACTCACCATTCTCCATCATGAATTTTTATTTCTTCTTAAAATTCTGTCATCTAGCTAGTCCCTAAGTTCCCTAAAAGGAGTGACTGGCTGTGCGTGTGTGTAATCAGAGTATCCACATTACCTAGCATGGTAAAGCCAAAATTAAGGATTGTGTTATCTCTCATGTACACTCATTTTAAAAAATCATACAGAGAATTATTTCTTACCAGTGTGATGGTACATACCTTTAATCTCAATGCTTAGGAGGCAGAGGCAGGTGGATCTCTGAGTTGGAGCCCAGCCTGGTCTACTTAGTGACTTCCAGGCCAGCCAGGGGCACACTATGGATCCCTGTCTCAAAAACAATTTTATTTCTTGATTGCCTTCTACATACATGTTGGCAGGCATTTCTAGAAGAAAGCAAGATCACAGGGGGCCTGGAGTGGCTGAGTTTCTGCCTATGGCAAAAAGCAGACCTTGATGGTGTTAGAGAAGAAGGATGTAAGGGGAGCTGTGATTAAGAAAGGTGGTTCTGGCAGCAGCATTTAAGAGGGGTGACAAGATCATTGTGGTGGTGTGCACTGTAATCCCAGCACCTGGGATGCTGAAGCGGGAGGATGGCAAGTCGGAAGCTGGTGTGGGTTACATAGTAAATTCAAAGTTAAAGAGAGAAGAGCCTGGAAAACAGTCAGAGCTTTGTGTTTGGACATCACTGGAGGCGCGGTGGGGCGGGGGCCTCGAAATGCGGATTCTGGATAGTGACATTGATACTGGCTGTTAGTCCAGTGTCCACACTTGAGTAGCAAGGTGTTTAAAGATAGTTTCCATGTTTTTGCAAAAAATCTAAGGGAGCACCTTTCTTGGGAACTCTTAAGAACATATGGCTGACCAGGCAGTCCAATAAGTATATGTTGACAGAAAAAGAGACATACATTTGGGAGGGATACTGGTTAAGAATCATACGTTGATCATGGGAGTAAAAAGAAGTTTGGAGGTGAGTGGTTGCTGGGTTGATGACTGGCCCGTGGACTGAGTCTGGAAAGTCTCTCCCCCTCTCTCATGACCACAGTGCACTGCAGCCATCCCAGCCACTGCTTTGCATATCAGGCAGAAAGAAGAAAAGGGGAAATGCCAAAGTGCTCCTGGCATCTAAGTTGGCACACTTCTGAAGAGTTTTCTAGAAACCCTACATGGTGTGATGGGCTACTGCCCTCAGTAAGAGAAGATGGAAAGTGTTCTTTTTCTTTGTTCAAAGTCAGTCATCTAGCCCTAGATGATGGATCTTGCCTACAGTACGGACTGAACCTGCCCACATAGAAATTCCTTCTTCTATTCCACGCAGACACTGTCACTGGGTACTTTATGTTGGTATTAATGGCACTCCTGTTCCCAAAACTGTGCTAAGCACTGGGTATGTTAGTTAGTGCTATTGCCATGGGCACCTGTGGTATGCACAGTCACAATCTCTACTTGCATATGAAGCAGAAAGGCTCATTTGTTCAGGCTCTCACCACAAAACAGAGGTGGCTGGCAGAAGGTCTGACTTCAGAACTCATTCTTGTAATTCAAATGCTCTCTCTCGCTCGCTCGCTCTTGCTCTCTCTGTGTGTGTGTGTGTGTGTGTGTGTGTGTATAAGGACATGGGTAGGTGTGTGTTGGGGGAGGGGATGTATAGGCCAGAAGATAACCTAGGGTGTTAATTCCTCAGGTACCATCCATCCTTTTTGAGACAGGATCTTCCATTGGCCTGGAGCTTCCCAAGTAGGCTGGGCTGGCTGGCCAGCAAGCCCCAGAATCCTCTTTTTTCTTCCTCCCTGTTTCTGGTCTTACAAGCAAAGTTTACTGCACTTGGCTTTTTATTTAATGTGGGTTCTGAGGACCAAACTCAGGGCCTTGTGCTTGCAAGGCAAGTAATTTACTGACTGAGCCATCTTCCCAGTCCCAAACGCTAACTCTTGAAGAAAGAAAGCTATTGAGTTTGTAAAGACAACCAGTAGTAAGCAGCAGATGCTAGGGACACAGAACAATCCCCCCTTCAGAGAGGGAAGGATTTTTCAAAACTAATCCAACATTGAGAGGTTTCATACCCTCATTCATGGCTGAGTAGCAAGTAGCACCCGGGTCCTCCTGTTCTCGGGTCAGACCCTTCCCCACCTAACTGAAGTCTTGATAGTATTTGTTGTTACAAATATAAATCACTCAACAAGTTGCTTAATGTCCTGGAATTCTAGAATGTTCACATTTATAAATTGGGACATTGATATTTGAGAATGCCAGTACCTGCCATTTAGAGAAATGAAGAGGTTAAGTGGATAAGTACCCAGATGGGGAGAGGCCTAATCTTCAGGGAAGATGCTGATGAAGGAGCTAGTTCCTCCATACTTTAAATGTCTGTTTTCTTTTGCTGCTTATTGGTCCACTATGCCTCTCTGTCATTTGAGGTTTGGTTTAATCATTTGCCCAGCATCAAACAGCAGCAGCAATAACACATAGTGTATAAATCACGACTCTCTGGCAGTACTTATGTGTCTACAGCTTTCATTCTCAACATTTGTTCAATAGATTAATGCTTAAGGAAAAACCATGAACATTTCTTTGGCCAGAATCAACTTGTATTCTTTTTGCTTCAGGCAAGACTTTTAAATATTTTTCCTAGGCACAAAGTTGAATGCCTGATGTCAAAGACAAATGAGATTTTTGCCTATAAGAATTACCACTTTGCTTAGAAAAGCTGGGGAGACCAGCCCTCATTCTGCCATCAGGTTTGTTACCTCTTTAGTGTTCATAAACTTGCTGTGAGTGGTAATGGAAACCTGCTTTTCAGAAGGGTTAGTTGTCAGTTATCACACTGACACATGTGACCATGGCCATGGTCCCATCATTCTCAGGGCCATCTTGGCCACTGTCTCAGGTTTCTGTCAGGACATTTGCCAGTGAGTTCACAGAGTGCCCTGTTAGAGAAGGTTGGATGACAGCCCCATCCTATCATAAACAATGAGGTGTAATCTGAGCCCATTGGATGCTGGATTATCAGAGCATAGCTCTGTGCCATCTGTGACAGTCAGTCATAACTTGAAGAATGAAAATGGGCTTTGAAATTAGATACAGCCTGGATCATACCCAAGTCCTTCCAGTTATTAGCCATGTACTCCTGGACAAGTTCTCTGTTTACTCTGACTCTCTGAATCTCAAAGCCCTATTGTGAAGAAAAGTCAGTTAAATGAGATCTGTGTACAGAAAGCAGACCATAAGGTGTGTACACAGACATAATAAGCAATTGCTGTGTTCATATTTGACCTTTCCCGACTGAATTCTTGGCTATTCCATGATTGATTTATGTTTCTCTACCCCAACTCAAACTCAAAGATACCTTGTTACACAGTATGTTTTGCATCAAATCAAAGGTGTAAGGAATATAACTGCTTCCTTTCTGACTCTGAGTAGCTGTTTTGCTTTGCTGTGGGGAAATGTGCCCTCTTGGGTTGCATACTGGCTCTTTACTTCTTAAAACGTGCCATAATTCCGGTGCATAATTTTTACAATACATTGTCATTGAAGTTAGTGTGTGCATGGGTGTGGGATATTTCATCTGGTGTTTGGTCAGTTGTTGCCAAACTGTTCTTGCCTTTAGCCCGTGTGGTTTGCTGGACTTCCAGTGTAAGCATTTGGGCTGAGAAGGCATGTGATAGATACATCCATAGCCATTACCTACATGTTGGCCCTGCTGTCTCCCATCCTCTTCTGTCTTCTTCATCTCTAGGGACTCCCTGGGTCTACCTGGAGAGGGTGAAAACCCTTCCTTGTTCAATCTACTTGGGAATTGGG